TAAAAGTAAAAAAAAATATATCTTGTTTCCCACCACTTCTCCTTAAGAAACAATGCATTACATAAAATACTAGCAATCTAAGCTTTACAATAGACCACTAGCTATAAAATTAAAGATATATTACTCCCCTGATTATTTTACTATGAAATTTGCCACCACCAGAGGGAAATCCTAGAGTGCGTACGCACTCAGTTATCTCTACACACTTCCATTTACATTTCTTTTCTAAATATTTGATGCATCCCGATTCTCCCTTACAGAGGCAACTAATGGACATTCTCGACAAGGCTGTTGCAGATGACTTGTTGATGGTTTTATCAGTTGCAAACTTGTGTGGTGCAAGTTGTGAGAATTTACTTGCAAGGTGTATTGAGATTATTGTCAAATCTGATGTTGATAACGTAACCCTTGATAAAGCGTTGCCTCACCACCTTGTGAAACAAATAGATGATTCACGTTTGGAACTCGGCTTGCAATCACCTCAAAGCAACATTTTTCCTGATAAACACGTGAAGAGAATACACAGAGCCTTGGACTCTGATGATGTTGAGTTAGTCAGAATGTTGCTGAAGGAAGGGCATACTACCCTAGATGATGCATATGCACTCCATTATGCTGTTGCCTACTGCGACGCAAAGACCACGACAGAACTTCTCGACCTGTCCATTTCTGACATTAACCACAGAAATCCAAGGGGATACACTGTGCTACATGTAGCGGCAATGCGAAAAGAGCCCAAAATCATTGTATCTCTTTTAACTAAGGGAGCTAGGCCATCTGATCTCACTTTAGATGGCAGGAAAGCCCTTCAGATCTCAAAGAGGCTTACTCGGGCTGTGGATTATCATAAAAGTACAGAGGAAGGGACAGCTACTCCAAAGGATCGACTGTGCATAGAGATTTTGGAACAAGCAGAAAGAAGAGATCCATTACTAGGAGAAGCTTCAGTATCGCTTGCTATTGCAGGCGATGATTTGCGCTCAAAGTTATTGTACCTTGAAAATAGAGGTAAATTAGCCCAGGGCTTTAATTTTTTGTACAGTTCATCTTTTTGACCTATTTTGTTACTTTTATCTGAATGGCCACCTCCAGATCAGCTCTTGATCTCCTCGTAGCACTGTTGAAAAAGATGTTGGGATTTTTAGTGTATCTTGTAGTTCCATCCATATCATCATTTATTTGTAGTGTTGGGTCCTTGAAATTTGTAGTTCCATCCATACAATTAATCATCCAGAGAAGGACTTGTTTTGATATATGAACCACAGTCTGTTCTCACACATTGATCAATCATTTCTCATCTTCCTCCAGAAAGCGTTGATAATATTTTTGTTATAATGATCATCACCACGCCATTGCATGGGAGATACCTGGTGCTTGTGTCTGAAATTTTTCTAGACTCAAGGCCAATTGGTGAAACTTATCCTGTTTCAAATGAATTCGTACATATCTGTTTATTAACTATTTTCCTTATAAGAATAATCTGCTTATTTGTTCAGCTGCTAACTATAGTGGCAGGTCTTATTTTGTTTGATTAACTGGGTTATTGCTTTTCAGTTGCTTTGGCCAAACTTCTATTTCCCATGGAAGCAAAAGTTGCCATGGATATCGCTCAAGTTGATGGGACCTCCAAGATTCAACTAGCTGGAATCAGCAAGAACATGGCTGATGCCCAGAGGTCTACTGTGGACTTGAATGAGGCACCTTTCAAAATCAAAGAGGAGCATCTGATTAGGATGAGGGCCCTCGCCAAAACTGGTAGATATATCTTGCACGCTTATTTCGCTTATACAAATTTTCTTTCTTGGCTCTTACTGAAACATTCTACAACTAAATATTTGAGAAAGATGCTGAAGTTTTTGGCACCCTGAACTGATTATTTGTATTTAAAAAACGATGAATATTTTAATTTTGTGAGCAACTGAGTATGAACTCACAGAATTACACGAGTGATTAATCATCCAAAACAAATGATTTAGGAAAACTGTTCCCTTCTATATGCACGGCTAACATATAACTGAATGTGCGGAAGTCTTGTACAATCACTGTAGATTTTTTAAAATAAACTAATTTGTTTGTAGTAAATTGATTTCGCTGGTCATAATGTAGCAAAAATCTGAGGGAAAATAAAGGGTATGTCTGGCAAGGTATTTATGAACGGGAAAATGAGTTATGGGGGAATGGATAGTGCTTGTGGGTTCTACAAAATGTGTGGACAAAAAGTGTTTTGACCAAAAATGTTTTTTTGATCAAGTTGTTTATAAGCAACCAGTAACAATGAGCCAAACATAGGCTAAAGCTGGTGCAATTGAAACTCTTTTGTTAGCATTGGTATCATTACCAAACAAGACAACGATATTTATTATTCAAACTTATTTCTTAAGTCCACTGGCGTTTCCTATCATTAGATATTTTGAGAAGATGTAAATCAGTTAAAAAAAAGCCACATCAGACCAAAACTGGACCGGAATGAAATGGATTCTCCCTGAACACAGACACCTCTAATAGTAGAATGACATTTGTCTCAGGTAATGATTGTTCAACGAGAGTATAAAGGTTGTAGTAGTTAATTCTTCATATGAAATAAATGGAACATAACATTACAGCTTTAACAATCAAGAACTGCTGTCTTCTTCTAGGAATGTATCATTTCCTGATGTACACATTGGATTTACTCGAACGATGAATTATGTAGTTTTTACATTTACACTACAGGCTGCTTTATTTCTCATCAGGAATTGCCAATTCTATATTACTGAAACTTGTTGTACTGATTTTATCTCAGCATCTCTCAGAATGTCATTTAAATTCTTCATTAATTAATTTTTTCTTTTGGAAACAGTGGAGCTTGGGAAGCGCTTTTTCCCTCGTTGTTCAGCAGTACTGAACAAGATCATGGATGGTGATGACTATTCCGAGATCACTCAACTAGGGAATAACGCTCTCGAAGAGTGTCCATTAAAGAAGCGAAGGCGCATGGAAATCGAAGAAGTTTTGTGCAAGGCATTCACCGAGGATAAAGAAGAATTTGACCGTACAATTAACATGTCGTCATCTTCATCATCATCTGTGGGAATAATGAAACCCAATGGTAAGTTCACACTCACCAAGTAAACATCTGGTATGTGCGAGTGTTGGGAAGAGGGTTTCGGCTTTTTTTGCCGCATACACTCTGTTTTCTACCTTTTCTTGTTTGCACAGCAATGTTCTGGCTTTCTTTCATAATTCAGGACTTCTATTAATTTACAGGGAAATGAGGACTGGATTGTTTTAGTTTTTTTGGATTCCACTGAATGTTCAGAAAGTATGAGCTATAAAAGTTGTAAGTATGCATTTTTTCCCATAATTTCCTCAGCTGGACGAACGTGTATTCTTCTGCGCCGTTCAATTTCTAGCCTTTTTGAATGATTAATAATTTGAATAGCGGTTTGAACTTCGAATTGATTATAGAAACATGAATTTAATCAGTCCATTTATTAGTGAAGTTGATTATATAAACAAGTCAATATTCTCATACTTGAGTTTAGAAAATGAATCTTGATTTGTACCATTGATGGACACAAAGCTTGTGGCTATATTTGCTTCTTTATGCAACAAATTTGACGAGTCTATCCCTTTAATCAAAACTGACACCTACTGATATGGTCCCATTTACCAAATTTTGGATGGCTAATTGCGGCTTTAATCAGCCAGGTGTCTGGGTTGTAGCCGTTTATGCTTGAACTTTCTAGTGCTTGTCTTGACTACTTTTCAGATTCAGGCACCAACTCCATTTAAGATAAAGACACTTTGGGTCGTGGTTTGTCAATTATTTGGGAAACAGACACCAGTCCTGCCCCACTTATCGAGTGTGCCATTTTACCCGACCCGTTTACTCATCATGATATGTTTGTTGTGTTGGACGAAACTCTAGGAGATGAGATCGAAGATAAGAGTGCCCATTTATTCAATAGTTTCGATTCGAGCGCTTTCCAATCTTTTCCAGACATTACATTTCCATTTTGAAATACCGTCAAAAAGTTACATAGGGCACTTTTTGTACCTCGACTCACATGGTGAAAAAAAATAGAGATTTATTATTTCAATTTTGTAATCGATTACTTGGTACACATGGATTCATGATTTCAATTTTGTAATAGATTACTTAGTCCAGATGGTATGAAACAAAAAACTCCAGCGATGAAGAAATAGGGGTTCATAATTTCAATTTCGTAAATATGAAATAACGAAAAATCCTCCTTCAAATAGTCATTTCTTAAGACATAATGAATGTGTACTAGACATATTGGGAATTGATATTTTAGTGTGTTTTTGGTTGCACTTAAAATTGCAATATCAACTGTTGCCAAGTAAAATTTAGACCATTGCTTTTCACCATTTTCCAATAAAGACTGACATGAAAACAGCAATATTGGACCATTTTATGATAGAATGAAATTTTAGCCCTTATTTAATTCATTTTACATGACATATGGACTTCTTCGGTAGTTCATTTTTACAATGTCAGGTTTTGCTGTCAAAGTGGGCTCCATTCTACAGTAAAAAAAGGGTCAATTAATTGCTGAAAATTGGAAGAAAGCGCTCCCAGACATGTTCTTAATCAAAACTCTTCCACCATAGATAATGCAACTAAAGACACTTGGTACAAGGTCGCAGTCATCATATGATTTCCCTTGTAACAAAAATTGGAAAATATAATCCACCATACAAAAATGTTTGAAATAAATGCACTCAAGCGTTAATTACTCCATCTAAAGGTTTAAGCAGTTGAGGAACGGGAAAAGATTAGAACTAGAAGTTAGCGAGTGATTGTTCTGGAGATGATTCAAGAGAATCCATTCTTGCTAAAACATGAAAAGAGTATATAAAACACTCCATTAACGACCAGCTATACATTCTTGTTTGGCAATACAAGTCATTTACATTGCAAAACAGTAACTACTTGTGCAAAAGCATAGAAATGGATGAAAACAGAAAGGATGAACATTACCCCTGGAATCAGACTAGTTTCTCGTACGCATATCCCATTCAGGTGGCTTAGCAATCAAATCCTCCAATTCAAGAACAATATCAGATTGTTGCTTTGCTGTTTCTGTTTCTGCTTCTTCCTCGTAAATCATATCGTCTTCCATGAGTTTCTCCCAGAGTATGAAATTCTCCGATTTCAAATCTGTACTATTCGTCTCAGGTGAAGCTTCAACCTTGTGTTCCTGTATAGGACTCCCAGAATCGTCCGAAGAGAATAATGCTTGAATCTCTGATTGTATTGTTGTCAGCTCTTCTTGAACACTTTGATCTATGTTCTTCATTAATCTCCTTTTCTTCAACATCCCAAGACCGTTCAGTGCATTTTTCTGCCTCCTTTTCTTGATGTACTGCAAAAAGAGAGGATCCTTCAATACTTTAACCAAGAAAACAACTGTATTTCTCTGCTTCATCTCTGCGTTCTGCAGACGATTTTTAACAGACGACAGATAATTTTCCATGTTCTCTTGCTGCTGCTTTAGTTTCAAGATTTCTGTTTTCAATGTATTTTGATCCGTTATCAGACTTTCAAGTTCGTTTTCTAGTCCGTAATTGGACGAGTCTAACCAAGATTTTGCTGCTACTTTTTGATGAATGATTTGGGGATGTTGTTTTCTCCTCTTGATGTTCTTCAGCAAATGTTTCTTCCCTTGCTGAAATCTGTCGTTCGCGAATTCCCATCTATCAGAATCGATCTTCCTGAAACACTGGACAATTGGATACCAAATTTCCAATTATTTTCACATTTATAAAATTTCATACTTAGCTAAAATCATCTTGAAATTATAAAATAGGCAAAACCAGCTCTGAAAATACTTCAATGAGCCGATAGAAAGCAATAACCAGAACAAAAATAAAATAAAAAAATTGAATTTTATGGGTTAGTAATAAAATATAGAGGAATTTCATGAAAAAAAAAACCCCAATAAAAATCAGCACAAAATGATAACTGAGAACCAAAAAAAAACCCAAACTCCGACAAATTTAGGATCTAAATAGATGAATCTGATGCTTACATAGGTATTAAGTTGGCGAACAAAGCTGGAGAAATTGTTGTGCTTGAAGTGTTTAGGGAGCAAATCCATGGAGAATTTGTGAGGATCCCAAACAACAAAACTATTCCTTGTTGAACTCCAAGATATCACAGAATCTGTATTCGGATCATCCACTATTTCGTATGTCTTCTTCAAGAATGGCGGCGGCGCCACTTCCCTCAGCCCCTCCATTGGCTTTGGCAGCTCTGAACAAAACCCAACACCGTCACCGTCAAAATTCTCTTCTTCATCAATAAGTAATATGGGTTCTTCTTTCACAATAACCAAATCTTCATCTTTCTGGGCCATATTTCTCTCTGTATTTTCTGGGGTTATCCGTTCAAGAATCAAAGTGTTCTTTTCTTTCTTGGAGTAAGAGGGATTTATTCAAGCTTTAGTACATATCGTCAGTGTGTGAATATATAGGTGATGTAGTGAGAGAGTGTAGGGATGAGAGAGAAAACGGTGCGTTGTCCGAATGGAGTAAGAGGGATTTATTCAACCTTTAGTACATATCGTCAGTGTGTGAATATATAGGTGATGTAGTGAGAGAGTGTAGGGATGAGAGAGAAAACGGTGCGTTGTCCGAATTTAGACCAAATAAAGATATGCGTCGACAATCATCACTGTAACTTTTTGCCATTTGTAGCGTTGAGCTTTGCACAAGATCTCATGTCCGCAGTCCTCACGTCGTTTGTTCCCTTAAGTTTTATAAATTTCTTTTTGACCCCAAAACTAATTGTCTGTTTTCATAAGGGTCCCTGTAAAGTTTTATAGATACTGTTGCACCGCTTGCTTTTTGTGTATTAAAATTTCACTTTAGTGACCTTATTTATACGTAGATCGTGATTTTTCTCGACAAATACATGTTTGATACGTACAGTATTGAACTTAGACTAAACAACATAACGAATAAATTTTAGCTGAAAAATTCGAATTGAGCCCCCGTTTGGACCACCTTATTTTCTCATTAAAATGAAAAGAATAATACTGCAGCAGTCGCTCACTGCAGCAGTCGTCCTATGTTGCACACACATGTCAAGTGTGTATTTGATGCATTAAATGTGATAAAAAACTACCACATTAATACATCAAATAACTACATGTCATGTGTGTACCACATAGGGCGACTGCTGCAGTGAGCGACTACAAGTAGCATTACTCACATGAAAAATATGACCGTTATCCATCACATTAACATTTAAATTCAAATTTTCTATCTCTTGTGTAGGTCCCAATAGCGACTATATTTTTCATTCTCATTCTACAAAAAGGTGGTTCAAACAAGGCGAATATGATAATGATCGTGGCACAAAAAAGAGCACGTGCTATTTTAATTTTTTTGATGTATGAAATATGATAAGGTTAAATAGATTCTCAAAATTAATGACCTATTGCAATTTGTGACCGTATGTGATGACGACCTTGTTCAATTGATAGTCGAGTTGTATTTGATAACCCCTTCAGTTCATACATTTAATATCAATTTGCTATTTTGAACTTCTGAACTTTGTAAAATTTCAACCATCATCATGCTACCATCTCTCAACTCAATTGTTACAAACTTCTCTTATTTTAATCATCAAACCTTAAGAAATTTAATGATTTTAAACCCAACAATATCCTCTTTTATGATGACACTTAAAACACTGAGATAGCATAGTGAATTATTATGTTTAGTCCATTGTCAAGTAATAATAGAAACAAAATTTTGGTATGAACCTATAAATAAATTCTAAAATTATTTATCGGGTTTCATATTTTCAATTTTTACATATAATCGAATCGAATCTCGAACTGCTTACCATATTTTCCCATCGAAGGCGTTCACTATGATTTCTCATATTTCATGGCATGATAAAACATAACTTAACAATGCATTTCATTGAATTCACAATATTTATCAATTTTTAACTACATATTTCCTCGACTTTTATAAAAAACTTCGTCACACATCATAAAGATTACAATAAAAGAAAAGAATATAAAAGCGCCAAACAAGAGGACATCTCTATGTATTTGACGGCGTTCTCCCACGCAAGAAACAAGAAAAGAATCTAAAAGCGGGCAAAGAGAAATTGGAGGATTCTAAAGACTGCTTATATGTGATGATCGAAGGATAACGCGCAAAACTGATCATCAATCCCTTTTCATGCCAATCGAAGTTCAAGCACACAATTGGAGAATCCAGTTACCAAACTAAAATGCTACTGTTGTTTACATTCAGGAGGCCTCTCACCCTGCTGATCGTTCCCGGTGTGTGCATTTCCACTCTTCTACAGAAAACCAACAAGATTTGTCAACCGGATCAAGAAAAGGCAAGAGAGGGGCAGAGAGAGAGAGTGCAAAGCATGATGGAGCCAAGAATTATATGATGTGCAAAGCAGGGCGTGAGGTTCGATAGAAAAGGACATCAAATAACTAGGAAATTGAAGAATACACAGTTCAAACGACCTTCTTCCTATTCTTGGTTTCCTCTTCATCCTCATCTTCTTCATCATCGTCTTCATCTTCTTCATCATCGTCTTCATCAATATCTTCATCCTCGTCATCATCTTCAATGTCACCATACTCATCCAGAGCAGCTTCCCCAGTGAACCATGATACTGCATGGGGGATGACTTTATCTCGAATGGTTGACCTGCATGAAAACAATGGTGCATGTGTAAGAAAACTCTTGAAACCAAGTAGGGCAACATGAAAATCCTAGAGTTTCAGGAAGCACAAGTCATCACCATACAAGATAATGCGGTATGCTGCAAAGCCTACAGTAACTTCTTAGACATTCACCTCCACCACACAATTTGAGAAATTACATCCCACAAATTTGTCAGTTAAACATTCAACCAAATCAGTGTGAAGTTTCTGGATGCCTCTATACCATATTCCATCTTGCCCAACCCCCAATCCATAAAGGAAACAATAATAGAAAATGGCCAAGTCTCTCTATATATTCCTCATTTTTAGTTCTTTCTCCCTTAATATTCACTCATTGTTTCTTAATTCCTACATATCTTCGGAACTAAATTGTTTTTAATTTTACCCCAGTATTACAAATAAATGGTTATCTGAAAATTTTAGCCTTAGTTTGGCAAAATTTTTAGATCATTTATAAATTGTCGAACTCCATTTTCAAACACACATTCTAATAGACCTACAAGTACTATCCACTTTGTACCACTAATTTCTATATATTTGTAAATTAAACCAATTTTTGAGTAAAAAATCACCAGTTTAGGGCTTAGAGTACTCCCTCCTCCTAGTGATTGAAACAATTTCCACTTCGTCCCCAAAAAGAGCTGATTATCTCTACTAAATCTGTTCAGTTAAGAGTCTGTAGAATTACTAAATGTTATAAGCCTTTTCACTGAAGTAGATGTATGATAGGCTCCACAGGATACTTGAAATAAATGCATCCAACAAAAAGTTGAAGTTGCAAAATCAACCTTAGTCATCTGTCAGCTCTCAGCAGAGTGCAATAGAAGTATAACGTACAAAGTTGTATCTAATTAGTTAAAAACTTAAGATATTAATATGATTTATTCATTGATTCCTCTTTTGCTCATCTCCCATGCTTCTAGTTTCCATCAATGCATCAAAGAGCTCATATCATGGTTGCAATAAAAAATGCAGCTAAGTAACATAGTCTACCCAACATCATAATCTTGTTCCATCAAGTTTTGAAATTCTTCAGCCTGTCCAGAAAGATCACATGAAAAAAAAAAATCTCAAAACAAGGGAAAACGAAGTCAACAATTTGCTAAACAAAAGAATGTTCTTACAGCATCTTCATCAATATCTTCATCCTCAGGGACTTCTGGTGGACTAAAGAAGTTAAAAAAGCTTTCACATTGTTCTGTTTTAGTAATTGGCTTGGCATTTTTAGACCCCTTTTTAGGTTTCTTTTTAAGAGACTTCTGTGTCAAGCATTTTCCTGGATACCACTCTATCTCCGTCCTACAAAAAAAGTATCAAGTTCAAATGAAAAATGAAAGAGAAGCAAGCGGAAAGAATTTTCAAGATCTACAAAGTGAGAGACAACATGTCAGCCAATTTTAACAGACCAGGAAATAAAATTACCCGATCGCTTTCTCTAGGATAGGTTCATCTTCATCAATCATGTGATATGTTTTAGTCAGAACGGAGTTCTTGAAGTACGGATTAGTGTCAAAATGAAATGTAAGCTGGAAGCCCTTAGGATTATCAACTCTGGACCACTTTATATCTTTGAGAAATTTAAGAGCTGCTTCATCGTGCTCTGAAATCTAGCACATCACAAACATATATAACTACGTTAACATAACTAGAGAACCAGCATTATAGATTCACAGAGTAAATGAGTAGCTTTTGGAAATGATTAACCTCTTCAGAAAGGACTTCGTTGTTCTTCATTGAAGTGAGCCAGAAATCAGGAACTCCTTTTTCTGTATAATATTGACGATGTAAACATATACCTTACCACCTTAAAAAGAAAGCCCTAGAAAGATATCGAAGCATACCCCCAGCATCTTTCCCCTCTTCTTGGTTTGTTGGCTCTCCACCAGTTGTAGCTCCTTCAACTTCAACAATTCCATTTACAATTTTGTATCTCTGCACATGTTTGCCATAATTAAAAACTAGAGCAAAAGAACAAGTTACTTTGTGGCGAACAAAAAAGTTAAAAGACATTCAAGAGTATAACGCCAGAAGCACAAGCGTAACATACTTTGGCATAAAGTGGACTGTATAGCTTTTGATATTTCGCTTCAAGTGTTGCTCTCTCCTCGAAAAATTTTGTCTCCAATTCATCGTGTTCACTCTGTAACAATAAGAAAAGTTACAAAGGAGGATATGAAATAACCATAATAGATCCAGTGCCAGTACATTAATCATTGACAGTTCTAAAACCACTAAGCCTATGTTTCCTTTCAACAACCATATCCACAAGCATAGATATGACATTAAGAAATGTGAATCAACAATTGAACAGATAAATCACCTTATCAAACAGTGAATAGTTGCAACGTGAGACATTAATACATTGCACTCACTAATCCTTCTTTAACTCGAAGAGGGAAAAAAAAGCCAATTATTGGCTGCAAATTAATGTCCATGCACTAAAACTCTTAACACCAGCGAAAACAGCGCATAGATATGACATTAAGAAATGTGAATCAACAATTGAACAGATAAATCACCTTATCAAACAGTGAATAGTTGCAATGTGAGACATTAATACATTGCACTCACTAATCCTTCTTTAACTCGAAGAGGGAAAAAAAAGCCAATTATTGGCTGCAAATTAATGTCAGCGAAAACAGCGCACGTAAGATCAGAGCATGTAACACGTCAATGGCAAACCAATGAGACACTTATTCACTAACAGATAGAGGTGGGCAGGCATATATAAGATACTAAAACATTTTACACCTTAACTCAAAACCAGTGAGTCAAACAATTGATAGTCGCAAATGAATAAACTCTCATCCACCCATTGGTACAAAGCTCATTTCTTAACCAAACAGAACTTTTCCCCAATGAAAACCCAGTTCAATGGACCACAGAGAAACATAAACATCTGAAGCACACGGCATGCCTGAATCTCCCTCAGAACATCTACACGCTTCCTGACATTAGGTGGCAAATTTTCGAGCACAGCTGAGTGTTTCCCAGTAAGATCCTGAAGCTTATTCTGCACAGATATTTTAATAGATTCAGTCAACCCAACCACAAGAACCCGTACACATTGACTATTAATCATATTAAAGAGAGAGAGAGAGAGCTCACTTTGAGAGCATTAACAAGGTCTGCTCTATCCTCAACATTCAAAACTATACCAAAAAAAATAAAAAATAAACCAATACTTAATAAAGTTAAAGTAAAAATAACACTGATATACACATATGCATATTGGGGATAAGGCTTTACCAGAGCCAAGATCGGCCATATTGAAACTATCCTTGTTGCTCATTTCGCGAAGGCTATGAACAAAACCTTAACAGATGGACTAAGAAGAAGAAAAAACCCTAGAAGAGTATAGGTTGAAGGGTTCGTGTGTATGAAAACTAAAGGGTAGAAGATAGAACGGCTCCAGAGCCTGAGAAGATTTTGCTTCTTTGCAGCGAAAGCATGTTTATTGTCCAGATTTTAATTAAGGGTGCTTATCCAGATTTTTTCACGGGGGATGTGTTTTATACATTCAAATTTTTACTTTTATACCGTTAGATTAACATTTTTTTTCAGGAAAAATATTTTGTAATCATATTTTCCTCACAATCAAGGAAAGAATTTTATTTAGGCCGTGTTTGATAGGCCGTATTTTTCGGGGAAATAGAAAAATATTTTCCACTTTCCATATTTTTGGCTGTTTGATAGGCGAAA